ATAAGACCACTTGATAGCTTTGATGGTGGTTTCGAGTGTGTTACGTTTTGAAGGTCTCATGCGGATCTGATCGCAAAATCCAGAGCCTCCAAACTTCTCTCTCCGCCTCCTTCTCTCTCTCTCTCTCTCTCTCTCTCTCGTCCCTCTCATCCTTGTTCATCACATCATCAGACACTTTATCACACACCCACCCACCCACACACACACACACACGCACGCCATCTTACCACACACACACACACCTCCTCCCTCCCCTCCTTCTCATCCTCGTCCATCACATCATCATACTACACGTCTTAGCACAACCGCCTCATATACCTTCTCTCCTCACACTTCGTTCTTGACTTTTCATCTCACTACTCCGTCTCCCATGTGATGTTCATATACATTTGAAATTTGTAAAACTTATCATGTGGGGTTATCCGGTCCTTTTATTTTTTTTTGGGGGGGCTAGCATATATATATATATATACATACATGTATTATGTGTATATATGTGAGTGTGTGTACTATGTAGTTATACATATGGGTGATAGGTGCCAAAATAATATATAGTAATGAATGCATATTAAACACACATAAATAATCTTACATTTTAAATATGAATTCAATCGTGCCATATGCATGTTCTGCTACGAGGCTCGCTTTTTGCATCGTATGTCTAGACCTTCTTTCATTTGGAAGAATCTTCGGACTGTTCATACACCACTCCGACTCATAAATATGAATGTATAGAGTGGAAAAACCTCCGCTTCACATGAGAAACATTGGAGCTGCCCAGGTGTCCGGACCCCATCCGCCGGGACCGATCTCATCCGCGCGCGTGCCGATCGGGCGCGGTTGGGGGAGTGTTTGGGAGTGCCACACCGTGCCGCGTTTGGTGGTCCGTCCACATGCCATGTAGGCGCTGGGAGGCGCTGGGTATTTTCCATCCACCCCCCCATATGAAGAGGTTGTTCAATCCAGACCTCTAGGCCCAAAAAGCCTTTGGTCTCAGGGACCAGGGCTCTGCTGGCCCTCTCACAAGGGAGGTGGAGCGTCCAAAAAGGTGTTCCACCATCCGGCTTGAGACCTTCGCGACACTCTTGCTTCTGTGCGCCATGGATGGTCGGATCGAGGCTTGGCTATCCGCCGTGGATAGGATGCCGGAGGATCCCTACACGGGTTATGCTCGAGAGTTCTTTCATGAGCACAGTGGGGAAGGTCCTGTGCTGCGGGTTAGAGGATTGGTGCTCTTCGTTGGAAAGTTGAAGTCGATTCGCGAGGACAATCTGGATGTTGAGCAATGGATGTTCCGACCTTGCCACGGATTTGCCCCATCTGTGACTAAGCTGGACAAGCTGAATGTTTCCGTGGAAGGTTTGCACCGCCGTGCTCTTGATCTTCGAGAAGGTGATGCAATTGTCTGTAGTGGAAGGGAATGCTCGAACATGGTATGGGAGACCTTGACTCTGGACAAAGACACAGTTGTCGTGCATTGGCCAGTGTTTGAGAAAGCGCTGCCATACAATGGCCTATACATGTCTTTGCAGGTGCCTTCGGAGGTTGGACTAGAGCCCTATGCTGGCTTGCTCAGTCCATTCCTACCATTTCGGTCTCGCAGGAGGTCACTGTCAATGGAAGTGTGGAGCAAAGAGCATGGAGCGAAGTTTTCTTCAGGAAAGACCCCGCCAAAGACTGCAAAAGACTTAGGAAAAAAGATCGGGATCTGCACTTCGGTGGCTGACCATCCTTTGCTTCACAAGTGTTCCAGCAGGGTCAACACTGTGACCATGGCCTCCCCACCATGCATCTCATGGTCTAAAGGAGGACGTCTTGGTGGACTCAATACTGGCCCAGGTTTTGCGATGGTAGAGTTGGTGATGCTTGTTGAAGTGCAACAGCCACTTCTTCTTTTTCTTGAATGTGCAAATGACACACTGGTGCACGATCATTTTCCCATTGTTGAAGCCATGCTTTCGATTTTGGGTTTTCGCAGGACTTGGCAACAAGTGGTACCCTTGCACCATCTGACGAACAACTATCGGACTAGGTGGCTAGCGGTCAAGGTGGCTCCCAGACTCGCAGAAGCCTCTCACCTAACCCACCAAAAGTATCCAAAAGTCACCAGAGGGCGTAGCCCCACCCAAACACTTTGGTGAACTACCAGCTTCTCACAACAAATGGTATCAAATGGTGTCCAAAGTGAAAAGCTTGGAAACAGAACCCCACTGCGGGAACGGTTTCTGAAATTCTATACGTACGTTAAGCGGCACCACCCTGGTGAGCAGCACTACCACCATGCGAAACTCAAAGTATCTCAAAAAAGGTGTCCACCATGGTTTGGTTTACTGGATGTTCACGTATATTTTCCTGGTGCACCATAATAAATGCGTGTCCATATTGTGCAAATGCACATGCCACCAAGCACCCAGACTCACCCAAACATCCCAAACCCACTACACAAATCCACAAAAGCCCAGCGATTCACACGCTATAGAGCAGGAGCTCAGGTTGACCGCCGGGCAGCGAGAAGGTTCCTCCGGGTGCGGCTTCTCCGGTTGCGGAAGGTGCGGCGAAGTCGCCTGGTTGGCAGGCGTGCACCTTCCGTGCTGGCTACATCCATGGGCTGTGGCACTCTGCGGATGGGCTCGGTATACCCTTCCCGGTCTGAAATCAAATTATGGGGATCCACCTTCGGTATGAGAAGGCCCTACAAGCCTAGACCGATTCATCGTCTCCGATCACCGTACCTTTGCCTCAAAAGGTGTGTGGATCCATAGGGAAAGATGCAACCTCTTCAAACATACCATTGGGCCCTTTGGCTCGAAGAACGCAAATCCTTAAAAAATAGATCACATGTTCTTGTCCAAGAGGTGCGTGGCGTTAAGTACGTTTCACCTTGGAGCGTTTCTTCATGCGTGCACAGTTCTTTACACATCGAATTCATCGGACCTAAGACCTAGGATTTGTTCGCTTCCAACTTCCAACCACAAAATCAACCAAAAACAAGACCCGGAGACTTGACACAAAGCGTTGAACGACCCATCGATGTCTGACCCTCTCATCAAAGAGGGTGCGTACACTCTGGGCTCTGACCAGAACCAAAATAATATTGGATATCAAAAGAATGTTCCAAAACGACCTCAAGCTACGACCGCTTCCCTGAAACGAAAAGCATGGATGACAACCCCAACAGTCACATAGAAGTGGACATCTCCTGGATGGTAGACCTGGTAGAGGATCGCCCGGAAAGCACGGTGGCTTCATGCAAGCCCACCCGGGCTTAGCGAAGCAAAGGCAAGCCTTCTCTGGGATCTCCATGACGATCTCCTGGCAGGAAAGGTGTTGCTTCCTGTCCTGGAAACTGCTCCATTCACTCGTCGGACCGGTCGTTCACCCGGTGAAAAGCCGATCCCGGTCAGCGTCTCAGTGAGGGATGTGACACACGCGACACGCGACGATGCTCTCCACATGAAAAATGTTCATCATCAGCATATGAGATGTTTACACTTGGACTGTTTGGATGTTTAATGTCACCCCCCCCCGTAATTTTTTTTAACCATGTGTCTAGCAACACGTTATGTTTAGGGTTGTGCGTAACAAAATGTAACAAACATAAAGCAACAATAAACAAAACAATACATCACGAGTCCCTATAAGCCCTATAAGCAAAACCAGGTCCTCCACATGTCATCGATTCGTCTTGCGGAAGAAAAACGTCTCGCGCGACAACGTCTCGGTCGTTCCGGTGAGTCGCCTCCGGTGCTTTGGGCATGGCAGGTCCGCCTGAGAGCCGGTGGACCCATGGCCATGTGGAGAGCCACAGGCGAGACGCAAGCTGATGTGGCTGATGGGGGGCCACAGGGTACCATGAGAAGCTGAACCAACCAAAGCTTCTTTGCTGGAGCACCATGCTTGTTTTACACTGTCCTTCTCCCAGTTTCAGAGGAGATTGGAGCAAATTCCCTCAGCCAGGCACAAGCTCCTTACCAGCTTTTCTGAAACCCAAGGGGAGTTACTTATGTACATTGGAAGGCCCGAAGACATCCAGTGCATTGCATATTAAATATACCTTCTAGGGGAGCAAAGCAGGCCTTCGTGATCACAAAGGACTGCCTGTGTCATGAAGGACTGCCTATCCATCTGTGTTTATTGAGGTTCTAAATCCACGACTCACTTCAAACGCTTCAAACGAGATATGCAAGGCTACCACGCCCCAAGTGTCGCCGAAAGAGGAGAAGGAGCAGGAGAGAAGGCCTGCAAACGCGTGCTCGGCTGGATGGTCCGGAAAGTGTACTTGTGGAGCTTCTGGCTGACATCAAGTCCCCAACCCGAACCAACCAACTGTAAGTACTCACAAGCATCCGGAAGAAAAACACAAACTCTAGGAACCACCACCATCCACACCGCAACCCCGTCCTCCACTCAGCTCCTCCTCCAGCTGGGTCTCCTGCATTTCATTTCGACGCCAAGCGTTGTCACGTTCACCCAAGCGTTGTCAGTGTCGGGGTCACGGGTGCTAGTTGCAACACTCCAAACCGCACGTGGTCAGAAGTAAAGCAGGCATTTAGCATGTCATAGCATTGCGTTTGCAAACTGCAAGCGGTGTAAACCCTCAAAAAAGCTCCATATCGGGATAGCTGCCAAAACGCGGGGCCTTTCGAATTCCTCCGACGTGGAAAGTGCTGATGTGACACACACCCTGCCAGCAAGTCTTCTTTCCCTCAATACGGCGCCAGTGAGCCCGATGCGGCTGCCCTTTGCATCAAGCCATCGCGGAGTGCCAAGGCGGCAAAAAGCAAGAAGCTCACCGCGCTGATGGCCAGGACAAAGCGCTCACTCAACCTAAGCACGAGTGTCTTTCTTGGACACCAACGGCGTTTTAAAGGGACAGCGGCAACGTTGGAGCCTAAGCTGTCCACTATGCTCCGGGTAAATTAAGGAATTCGTTGCACAACAAGGGGTTAAAAGTACTCTTTGGCCACCTCGTCTATGGAGCTCCCGTCCAAGTGGCTTGGCATGCTGCACGAGGCTGGCGGCCGCGACGGCGCTGAAGGTCAACAAGAAGAAGGCCACCTCGTCCCAACACGACCAAAATGAGGCAGGATTATTCTTGAATGGTCCAACAGGGAATAGGAGCAAACACGCTACTAGGGGCTCCTGGCATCGCTACTAGTAGGAAGAAGCTACTCGGGGCTCCTGGCCTTACTACTAGGAGCAAGGAATGCATTTATCAAATTTCAAGGAAAAAGCTGGCTTGCAGCACTGAGCCACTAAAGAACCCAGGCATACCGGCAGCCACGGCGCAGAGGAATGCAAGGTAATCATGGCCACCTGTCTTCAGACAACCGCACGATTCCCGAAGAGACATCATTGGAAAAGGCCATGTAAGGTTCAGTGGCATGTCCACGGTCACTGGCCTTGGGCCATGGGATCATGGTCACATGTGGTCATATATAACTTCGTTTAACAAACTATAGTCTATACATGTTTATACTACCTTGAGTCTCCAATGACCCTTTTAAATTTGCCTTTCCAAGAAAAAGAGGTTTTTGAAAGAAAGCACTCTTTTTTGCATATGTCACGAAATGTTCCTTTTTTGTTTGTGCCCTGTCAGATCCTCCTTGGACAGTGTCCTGAGACCTTTTTTCGGCGTCCAAAACGCGTCTTTTTGCGTCCAAAAGGCGTCTTTAAGCGTCCGTGCCGGACGCGTCCGGATGAAGATTCACTCTGCACCTTTTTTTGAGTCCTCATCTCTAAAAACGCGTTTTTCGAGCAAAAATGCAAAAATATTAGACCAAAAACAAAAACGCAGAAAAAAAAGGTCTTTGGAGACTCAAGGTATATATATATATATATACGTGTTTATCTATATGTGGCCCCATGGCATCGCATGGTCCCACCAGCGAAAGCCGATTTGGCCGCTTGCCGGAATCCAGTGTGAAACTGTGAAACCGACATAAACCGACAGCTGGCAGGTTCAGAGACAACGGAGGGGGTTCTGGTCCAGCTACCCTTGGTTCTTCAGTTCTGTCCCAACCGTCTCAAAACGACCGGCCCGGCTGGACCGGTCGCCCTTTTGTCCCGGTCTCCTGGGTGCGGTCGCCCCACTCTGCAATGAAGACCGCCACGAAGACACGCAAGAAGGCATCGCTCCACGCGGCCTCCGTCTCGCCTGAGTCCCGGCGGTGCGGTCGTCCCTGTTGGTCCCAACTGGTGTAAAACAAGACACTCATGAGTTGTTCCTTGAGTTTCCCTATCATGGACCCGCAGGCCAAGAAGCCACAAAGAAGTACGTTTATGTATATATACTAGCATGGCAACTGGCATGCAAGCACGGCTTTGCATGGCGACTACAGACACCCACCCCCTTATTCGAGTCCCTTTTTCTGTTTCATATATAGGCTTTGTAGTGGCAATGAGCTCTCAACCGAAAATGGTCTCTAGATGTCTCTAGCCAGCGCTGTCATCAAAAGGTTTCAATGCACATGTCGCAACTCCCAAATTTGGTGAAGAAGGTCCCCAGCTTGACAAGCACAAGTGAGAATGCAAATGCTCCATACATTCTCTGCAGTGAAAATATGTCAAAATCACTTAAGTTGGTGAGGGTATGTAGCTCCAGATCATCCAAATCAAGAATCCAGAAGAATCCCATTGACTCCAGGTCAGTTCAATGGAGACCCTCGAAAAGGCCCAACTCTCGAAAGTCTAAGTTCAGGTTTGCTTCAAAACGGGCCCGGGCCGGAGGGACCTGTTATTGGATCTTTTATTCAAGTGTCGTCACACAACAGCTGCAAAACCGAAAAGAAATCATAGAACACGTCAGGGGATTGTTGGAGTCCTTTCTTTTCTCTGTGTTCCACTCATCTTTCATGTCAAATCGCTTCCCTCCATGCCCCTCCCTCCCCTGTGCCTTGCAGGGCTTCCTTGGCCTCTGCACTGCGCTCCGCGATGACGTCATCCGTGGCCTGGGCCGTGAAAAGCTCGCTGGCCTCGGTTGCGGCCACGCTCGCGTTGCCATTGCCGCGCCATCGGCCGAGGGCCCCGTCGTCGGTCCCCATGCGGGCTGGTCCAGTTGTTTTGGGGGGTACGTTCGTCGGCCTCCCCTCCCCTCGACACATCAACCCAGCAAAAAGCTTCAAAGGCCTCTATAGTCGATTTACTGGTCATCCTGAGAAAAAAACACATTGACAGTGTCAAACCCAAGAGGTTCCTCATTGATCATCCCCCCTTGTCTGTGCGTTGTCTTCTTGATGCTCAAGACTTCGCGTTTCACACATCAAACAATGCTCTTCTGGTCGCGCTTCTTGGTGCTTTGCTGTTCGCGTTTCTTGATGCTCTTCAAATCCAGAATCTTCAGCCTGACCACCCTACCATTGTTCCTCCCACGTGGTTCTTGCCAACCCTTTTTCGCTCTACTGGTCTCCGTTCACGCGACTTCCGGTCGTGACCGTCTTCGCACCCAAATGGGACCAAAAGTCTCCCCAACACAGAAACCAGTGACGAAACTCACTGTCGGGGTTGGGGAACTCCCGGTTGAAGACCCGGCTCCCTGTTGAATGGGGGAAGAACTGCCGCTCCTCAGCTCTTTCTTGAGCAAAACACACTAAAAGCAGGGACGAATGACCCAACCACTGTGTTGTGACCAAATGACCCAATCACTTTTTGATACTGTGGACGAATGGAACGAATCCAAAACATGATTCTTAGGACCTTTGTGCGAACCCGGAGGCATAAGCCAAGGCCAAAAAGAAGAAGACCGCGGCGGTTGAAAAGCACAAGGCCTCGGCAGCCGGTCGACACACTGGAGAGCCGGCACTGCGTCAGGAAGCTACTAGTAGCGATGCCCATTGCCCATTGTTACTAGTAGCTTCTTGTTACTAGTAGTAATGCCAGGAGCTACTAGCAGCTTCTTGCTCCTAATTTCCATGGTGCTGAAGGAATGAGTAAAGTTTATATGATATTGATATGGCTACTCCCCGAACATTAAATATACCGGGCATGTGCATGTGTTTGGACCCTGTATTTTTGAACTTTAAAACCCAACAACCTCCAAGGGCTTCAGACCGCCACATCTTAGCAGCCTTAGCAATTGATGAATAAAACCTCTTGTCTCCAGAAATCGCTCCATGCCTGGGAGATGCTGCTTTTTTCATCCCCAAATGGTGGAATCCCCCCGTCCCCCTAAAGACCTGGGCTTTTCGCTGCACCACTAGCCGCGACGGTGGTTGATCTGGCCGCCTGGATGGAGAAGAACTGGGAGATGGCCACCCCTAAAGCGGCCGCCAGGAACACATGCAAGGCAAGTGCTAAGAAGCCGCCCACGAAGGAGATCCTCTTCCTCACTGAGGAAATGGGTGTGGATATGGCTGCTCACTCAAAACAACTACAATTTAACTACTTTGTCTGGAAAAGGGGGTGAACGGGAACTCCGGGTTAAACTCCGAAAGCTCCGGCGAAACCTGTTTTCATGGGAAGCACTGGATGCCCCCTGGCACCAAATCGCTCCCTCCTGAGCAAAAGCTAGCACTTGTCAAACCAAGAAGAGCCACGGAGGTACGGTCTCATTGATTCATATTGATTCATCATGTTCAAACAACTGGTCGGCCAGTGTCAGTCTGAGAAAAGCAACGTGTCGCACCTGCGGCACCGCTTTGTCTCGGGCGGGTGGGGGACTTTTTCTCAGTGCCCGGACCCCTAAAGAGTCTGATCAATTCCAGGTGTCCCATAGTTCAAGGCGCAAATCAACGCCACAAACCACGTCTTGTCGAAAATCTCCGCCACGGCCACCACGCAAAAGGATCGAACGATCACATCAAATCCTGGGTGAGCAAATGAGCAAGAGAATCGCATCTAGTGTGGCAGTATGCTTGCCATTGGCAGGAAACATATGGACACATACACCTCCAAAACCGCGTTCTGGGCGGGGGATTTTTTTCGCCACTGCCTTGCATAACCCCAGTTTCCGATGGATTCCTGGTGAACCGATTACGGGGGGCTACCAACTCACCTGCACATGCTCCTCCAGGGCTCGGTTTGCCAAGCTCATCATGGATCGCGGCCCTCGGTTTGGGCGGCCAGGGCGGCCCTCGGGCGGAACATTGGGTGCCACCACCCCGGTGCTGCGGGCCGGAGTGTCTCGGCTGGAAAGCGCCACACAGGGCGCAACAAGCAGTGCCAACGGCACCAAGAGCGCACGTTTGCACCACATACGGCGCGGATTCGTATGGATGGTTTCGCTATAGGAACGTGAAGGACATCTGAGCCAAAAAGCCAGGCCTCATGGACGCGGATCTCTCAGGCGAAGGTTTCACTGGAAGAAGTTGCTTGCGATCACGCAGAACTTGGGTCATGAACGAAATCCGTACAACAAAGAAATGACTTTTTGACCACCCCGTTTTTCCACAACTCTTCTCCCAAAAATTGGCCGGTCATGTGTATATAAGTTATATATATATAAGTGACCCAAAACAAAATACAAACAAACACAGGCCTTTCGTCCATGACCGTCCTCTTGACTCTTGCCTTCCACTGGTGCCTGGCGTCCGTGCGTCCGTGCGTGAGGGGTTTCACCACCCTCCGACGCGGAGAGCGAAGCTCAGCTCGCGTCAAACGACTTGCAGGGATGTGAAGGGTGAGTTGCCAGCGGTTGTAGGCTGTTCTGGTGAAAAGACTCGGATTCCACTGGCTACATGCAAAACTTCTTGGTGGTTTCAATCCGCTTGGTGGATTCAACCCAGTGGGCTCAATCATCCCAAGTAAAGGTTGACAATCAACAGATCTGAAAACACCACCTGGTCTGAGTCTAAACCGTATAAACCTTTGGGCGGCCGTGTAGCTGGGCTAAGACAGCTGTCTGTCCATGCGTGAGTTGCAGTACTGCCTGTCTGTCCATGGCAAAGGGAGGGTGCCAAGGGAGAAGAACAGCTACAAACTACGATCAACTGTGGGTTAGTGTTCGGCTCATGTTATGATCTGCGCGTAATGACTAATGAACATGAATCCCAAATAATAATCCAAATCCATCTGTAGATCTATGTCGCTACACTGCAGTAGAGGTATAGATAAGATATTTATACAATATTCTTCCAAGTTGTATACTAGTGTTTCTGTTCGGCCTGGCACTGTCATGCGTTCTACCAGTGCTGTCACAGGCCTCGGGTGCTAAAAATACCGCTGTTACCGGCCTCGGGCACTTCTTCCTCCTCGGAGTCGTAGAAAGCGGTCAAGACTGAGCCCTTGATCATTGGAGACCGTGGCAGTGCTGGCGGTGTGGGCTCCTCACAGAACCGAGTGGCCCGGCCCTGGTGGTGGGTGGTTGAAGTAGAGTTCAGTTGAAGTAGACCTCTGTTGATCTCAAAAGGACAACATGTACAGTAAATGCCAGGTTGTGTGGGGTCCTTCAATGAGCTGCTCACTTTTGCATCCAAGTCCAGTCAATCTCAATCGCAAGTAAACTGTGAAGATCTGCCAACGTCTCACAAGATGTGATTTTAAGTCAAAGCTACTCGAAACCTCATAATCTTGGTATACTATGTATATATATGTATATATACATATATATATATAATGTGGACTTCCTAATAATACATGGCCCGTGAATAATACTAAATCTTTTCAAAAACCAATAATTAATGGACCTCAAATAATACTAAATGTTTTCTGGACCTTGATTTTCAGCTGCTTCCAGGCCTTGATTCATCCAAGCTGATTCTGAGCTTTCAGCTGATTCCAAAACCTGATTATTTTGTAGTTTCCTTTACTCTGGAATTTTGATTTGGCTGCTGCATTTTCCTTTTAAAATTGCTTATTTGGGCAATTTTGGGCATTGCCATTTGTAACCTGAAATCAACCCACAAAGACCACCCCCCACGAGCAGCCCAAACCTTCAATTGCTCCAGGCCTCAAATACTGAACAATCCCTGGCTGGTTCTTTTCGTGATTTCCTTTCCTTTCCTTCATTGTCCTTTCAATTTCCTTTCCTTTCCTTTCATTTCTTTCCCTCTCCTTTCATTGTCCTTTCAATTTCCTTTCCTTTCCTTTCATTGTCCTTTCAATTTCCTTTCCTTTCCTTTCATTGTCCTTTCAATTTCCTTTCCTTTCATTTCTTTTCCTTTCCTTCAATCTCCTTTCCTTTCCTTTCATTTCCAATTCAAATCAAGATTTTCTAGGAGTTTTCTGGATTTCACATTATTTGGGGCCCGCACTTGATCAAGGGGGGAGGGGGGGGTTATTATTAGGAGGTGGACATTATATATGTGTGTACATCTATGGTTAAACATCTAAAGATATGGAGTGTTTAGAAACCCTCGCAGTGCACCTCCATCCTCTCCGTTGCTTCATCACGCAAAGCGTTGATGAGCTCCTGGGTCCTGGCACACGGTTAGCGACTCCTAAGAGTGGTTCATGACGGTCGGTACATGAAACCATGGTTGGAGGATAGACCTATCCCATTCCCTGGACCCAGTGGCTGATGATGGTTCAGTTGCAGGCCTTTCTCCAAATGTGAAACCCGACGGCTCGTCACTGGTTTCCTGGGACACTCGCCTACGGTAGACCGCGGCGTTTCACTCCGCCGAGCGTAGAAACAGCTGAAAACATGACACCCTTGTCAAACTTTGAAGCGTTCTGCTATTTGGACCTTGATGCTCGCGTGTTGGCAACAAACAAGTTAAGGTTCAGACCAAAACTAGATTGGCACTGGGAAAACAAGGTCCATGAAAGGTCTTGTGGAAATCTGAAAGAAACTCCATGCGTGCCGCACTTCTTGCAGTGTTCCATGAGATGAGGCATCAGTCTGCAAAGGTGAAAAGCTTCTGTCTATGTTCTAAGTCCGACTAAGTCCAATATGCTCCTGGCATTCTTGACTCATCAAAGTACAAAGCAACTCCGCAACTCCCAGCCTCCCTTCCATAGGTGCCTGAGCACTCTGGCAGGCAAAGTGTTTGATTGAATCTTGATCCGCACCAGAACTTCGGGCCATGTCCAACATAGTCTAATGCTGTCCCACACAACTGTCAAATCATTCCAGAGGTTGGTAGCATGAGCTTAGCCCTTACATCAAAGTTAAACATGTATTAGCTGCATTATAGTGAATTCAAAATCATCAACAACATATATATATATATATATAGATATCAAGATCCTTAAAGCTCAATTAAACGTGTGTCATTGAAAAAAGGATAAGGACACACACATATATATATATATATGCATGCGGAATGCGGCATCTATCTATCTATTGGTATAAATCGATGTGTCTATGTGTCTATGTGCATAGTCTGTAACAAATTGACAAGGCCACTCTCCTTTAACAAGAGGCATCACCAATCGGAAAATCATCAGCACCCCCAGTTCACTGGCCGCAAAGAACCTTCAGTTCTTCATGGTTGCTGGCAAATTCTCTGGCAGAAACTCTAAATCGGAACCCGATTTTGTGTGAACCTCTAGGATAATATCTAGTCTTTGGATCTTTGGATCCAGTATGATCTATATTGCCATATTGGTGGTGTTCTAACTTCCCCAGGGCAATCGGATTCTATTGGGACTTCGCAAAGCCGCAGCGCAAAGTCACCGGTTTGATTCTCCATGATTCGCCCTTGGTTGGGCGTTGCTCCCCTTGAGAGGAAGGCAGCATGCCGGGCTTCTCTACCAGGTTGGGGTTGTTCAGTGTTCAGTCCCAGAGCAATGCTGAGAGCTTTACACCGGAGAGGGTTCTTCTTCCAGCTAGGTTGCTAATGCATTG